CAACCAGGCACAGGGAAAAGAAAAAAAGGTGAAAACTAGGACCCGGGAGCGGAAGAATAAAGAATAACAGTAAAAAGGACAAAAGTAGTAGTAATAATAGTAGTTTTAACACAGACAAAAACCAGCAAACTAAAAACCTGAAAAAAGGAAGAGAAGAATAAAAAATAAAAAATCGGAGGAGGGCAGGGCACCCAGACTTCCTCCAAGCACACAGACTAGGATGAAGTTCCTGCCGGCCCAGAAGGTGGGTGGGAGTGGGGGATGGCCGCACCTACATTCACCAAGCCGTTCACCCACTGATTTTTGGAAGTAGATTGCTAGTCCATGTTAGTCTGGAAGTTCCACTAAGAGCTGTTGAATACTACAGCGATATACAAGGCACCACTGACAGAAAGGTGGTGGCTGTGTATGAGATGCATTGGCCAGGAATTCAACCAGGTCTCCCGCATGTTGTTGTTGTTGTTATGTGCCGTCGAGTCGGCCCCAACTCATAGCGACCCCTCCTTGGGTTTCCCAGGCAGTATCACTATGGAAGTAGGATTGCCCAACCTTCCTTCCGAGGAGTGGCTGGTGGGTTTGAACCGCCAGCCGTCTGGTTAGCAGGCAAGTGTCTTAGCCACTATGCTACCAGAGCTCCCGGTCTCCTGCATAGAGGGGGAGAAATCTACCATCAAACCAACAGTATCCCCGAGAGGATTGTAAGGAGTGCTAAACACGCCAATGCACTCTGCAATATGTTTCTCTCTCTTCTCACTGTTGAATGGTGAGATACTTTTATAAAAAACAAATTTCTGCTGAAACAGTCCACAAAAATTTTACATTCATTTCAGTGTCACCCCCACTGACAGTGTTTTCCAATGCGGTCCACAAAGCCTCCCCCTCCCCGCCCCCCCGCAGTGACACCCCTTCTTGGAGATGATCATTATTTTAACTAGTATTAGAAATATCCCTAAGCAAAATGGCAACCTGAGTCGCGTTAATAGGGTGGTGAAGCGGCTGAGATGTAAATAGTTCCTTGTATGCAGGCTGAGAGGGGGCCGATTTATCGCTAAAGGTTCTGAAAAGCTTTTTAACCAGTCACGCCCTTCTCAAAGATGGCCGACCTCACTTCCCTCGCTCAATAGACGTTTCCAAACACCTCCTTTCAATTTGAAATTAACCTGATCCAGGACTTTTGTATTACTAAAGTAAAAATGGCATCCACATCCTTTTAAAATTGTAGAGTACTGAAGCCATTTCTTATTATTTTTTCTTAGTCAAAATTGTTCTTTACATCTGGCGCTTGTTTTTTGGAGTGGCTGCCAGGAGTAAAAATGGCTTCTAGATGAACTAAACATAATAGGAAGTGAAGCTGTGACGTCGAGGCGTTGCCCGGCTGCTTTTTTCTAGGCGTCCTCGGCGTGAGTTCCTTTAGCCCTCAGTAGACATGGCGCTGGCAAGCGTGTTACGGCGGCCGCTACCGGTGAACCAGCGCGGGTTTTTCGGACTCGGGGGTCGTGCGGATCTGCTGGACCTGAGTCCAGGGAGTTTCAGTGATGGACTGAGTCTGGCTGCGCCCAAATGGGGTGTCCCAGAGGAGCCAGGAATCGAAATGCTTCATGGTACCACTACCCTGGCCTTCAAGGTGCGGATCCAGGCCCCGTGCCTGGGTAAATTCCGAGCGCCTGCGTCCCACCCGGCCTCCCAGCTGGACGGGAATCTGCGGCTGCCTAGATCAGGAAACCCCGGAAGGGGCTCGGCCCTCTTGTCTCGAGATTTGGCTATTTTCATTACCCCGGGAGGCCTTAGTCCCTGCTCTGGCCCGAGAGGGTGATGGTGGAATTGGGGTTAAGTGAGAGAGGGTGCCCAAGGCTGCTGAATTTGTTTCCTAGACAACCTCAGGTTGCTTCTGTCTAGAAGCTCGTAGCCGGGTAAGGGGAGGCTGCAGCAGCAAAAGAACAGTGCAAGAGGGAAGGCTGTTGTGACCATTCACCAAAGGTTTAGTAACTGGGCAGCCGTTCTAGGCTACCCTGCGTCTTAAGGGGCAAGTTTGGGGAAGTCAGGGGAGCACTGGTATAGGAGCCAAACATTTGGGATTCCTTGGCCAGATCTGCAATAACTAGATCTAGGAACTTGGGCAAGTCATTCTATCTCATTGAACCTGTTTTCCTATTTATAAAAGGAAGATCTGGTTATGCCCATATCACAGGAGTGATGTGACGCTCAAAGTGACATTAATATTTAAGGAAGTATGTTGTGAAGTATAAAATGATGGAGTAAGAGATGTGCTGTATTTGCATTGATGCAAAAAGGAGTGTCAGATGTTTTTGTGGTCTGATGTGCCCTGCTTTGTGTTTTCTTCTGAACTTAACAGTTTCGCCATGGAGTCGTCGTTGCAGTGGACTCCCGGGCCACAGCAGGTGCCTACATTGCCTCCCAGACCGTAAAGAAGGTGATTGAGATCAACCCCTACCTACTGGGCACCATGGCTGGTGGTGCAGCAGATTGTAGCTTTTGGGAAAGGCTGTTGGCTCGGCAATGTCGAATCTATGAGCTTCGAAACAAGGAACGGATCTCTGTAGCAGCTGCCTCCAAGCTGCTTGCCAACATGGTGTATCAGTATAAAGGCATGGGGCTGTCCATGGGCACCATGATCTGTGGCTGGGATAAGAGAGGACCTGGTGAGTTAAATTGCAATAACATGATCCTTTGGTTACCACTATAGAGAAGGAGGGGTTGAATAAAGAAGGGCTGAATAATGAGTGTTGGCCTTGTGCTAGTGTTTGAGCCTGTGTTGATTAGGTTCTTAACCTTCCCTTCTCTTTGTTTAAGAAAAGCCAGGTAGTTTAGGAAAGGACATGGAGTTAGACCATGTCATTGACTCCTTGTGTTGCTTGTTCACTCAGCCTGTTTCTTCATTTGTTACATTGGTTAGGTGAGGTAATAAGTGTAAAACATCTAGCTCATGTTTCTCTCTATCCTCTCTCTCATAAAAGGGTAAGACCTATAAAGAGTTGCATTTGAGAATTGGTTGATAGCTGTAAAAATTCTAGCCAGTGGTGTCCAAAAGAATTAAGTAATAAAAGTTTTTCTAATGGACACATTGAAAAAGTGAAAAGAAACAGGGGAAATGAATTCTAATCATTTAATCCAAGAGTGCCCTAGTGGCACAGTGGTTAAGCACTCAGCTGCTGACTGAAAGGTCTGTGGTCTGAACTCAACAACCACTTTATCGGAGAAAGATATGACAGTCTGCTTCTTTAAAGATTTATGGCCTTGGAAACTATGGGCCAGTTCTACCTTGTCCTATAGGGTCAGTATGAGTCAGAGTTGACAACAGTGGGTTTGGTTTTGGTATTTGGATTTAATCCAAAATATAAAATCATTATCATTTCAACATGTAGCACTAGCCCCATTTCAGGTGCTCAGTACATGTGGTTAGTGGCCACAGTACTTCATGGTGAAGCTGTAGTATATAGTAGCCACTCAAAAGTTAGCCATTCTCCCTTTTTTTATTCAGAGGGTCCTTGACCTGAAAGATGATTTTTGGGCTCACCTCTTTTCTGTCTTTACTTGATATGGTCACCCTGGGTCCTATTCTGTAATCTCTGAAAAGAAATTCCTCAGCCTAATTTCCTTTCCAGTATTTAAAACTTTGTCAGGAAGTTCAATCTTATATCCAACATCAGTTCCTCTTCAGCCAATTTCGAATGTCTCTTTAGGCAAGCTGGAATGTAACTAGTTACTGTTCATGTAATTTTCCCTTCCATATACTTGAAAATACCTCTCCTTTCCTCTTAACTGTTTGTGTGTCATTTATTTACCTGCTGACTGAATGTGCAATTATCCTGTAGAATGCATATAGGATACCTACCACTTTTTCTCTCATGCTTTGGAATAGGATAGGAGGTGGTATAGAAAGGACCAGTTGCCTACTCAATAGAGGATGGCTTAAGAGATTAAAAAGTGGATGTGAAAACACAAAATCATTTGGGGAAAAAAAAAAAGGTGAGGTGGGGGGGACCAGGTTTGCTGGTCTGATAGAGCCTTGTGGAACCACTGAGACTATGGTCCTTAGCTGCTCTTCAGGTCTGGAATTGAACCCACACCTGTGGCTTCCAGCCAAATAAAAGACAGGCATATGAGTACCTGAGGTAGATACACTCCTTGGAGAGAACAGTCATAGGAGAAAGAAGGGCAGTTTATGCACAGGGAGACAGCTCAGAGGGCAGGAGTGCATGGAGGGATGGACACACTGTATGGAACTGCTGTATGGAAAGTGAATTTGCTCTGTAAATTTTCACCCAAATCACAATTTAAAAAAAAGTGGATGTGAGATAGAGCCCAGTTTGTTACTTTGGAAATACTTTTCTCTTTGAAAGGTGTGAAAGATTTTGCCTGGTCCAGGGAAGCATTTTGGAAATGTCACTTTGAAAAAATGCAGACCAATATGCCCTTAGCTGTTGGGTTTGTTCCAAGTGACAGAAACAGTGTGAGAGAGCACAGAGAGTGACTAGCAAGGAAAATCCCTGAAGCCAGAGCATGACCTCATTTGTGCCTTCTTCAAGAAGCCTCTTGAACAATGTCATCAGTATGAGTCAGCACAGGTACAGATTACGTAATCCATGAGATTGGTACCATTAATCTGTTCGTGAGATTAATTTATCCATCAGATAAATACCATTTTAAAAAGAACAAATAAAACGAAGGAGTTTTGAAGAAGGATTGCTTCTGACTGGAGGAATTGAGGACTGTGTGGATAGTTGGTAGTTGTTCTGGGGAAAATGGAGAAAAGGAAATACATGGGCACAGGGAGGGTGGAAAGAAGGATCAGATTTTGAGGGGAATAACTGGAAGTACAGTTTAATTGGGACTAAGGGTATATGGGGAGCTCTGGTAGAGTAGTGCCTAAGGCACTTGACTGCTAACCAGAAGGCTGGTGGTTCAAACCCACCAGCCACTCCCAGGAAGGAAGGTTGGGCAATCTACTTCTGTAGTGATACTGCCTCAGAAAACCACAGAAGGGTTGCTATGAGTTGGGTCTGACTCAAAGGCACATAACAACAACAAAGGGTGTATGTGTGTGTGATGGGGAGTAACGCAGCGCACTGCTGTCAAGTCAGATCTGGCTCATAGTGACCCCTCCTTGGGTCTCCAAGGCAGTATCACTATGGAAGTAGATTGCCTAGCCTTCTTCCAAGGAGTGGCTGGTGGGTTTGATTGAACTGTCAGCCTTCTGGTCAGTAGTCAATCCCAAAAGGTAAGTTGAAATCAGATGATGAGGCAGTGGGATTGAGGAAGGGAAAGGGAAAGATGTGGGGCATTAGAATCATCTAAACCTGAAAACATATGTGCAGAATATCTCAACTTGGTTTGGGTTAGAATCACCTGGACCTTAAATACTCCCATGCTTGTTCCTCATCTCAGACCAATTGAAACACCACCTGGGTTAAGGCTTAGCACTTAGAAGTTTCCTTGGGTGATTCTGATACACAGTGAGGCTTGAGAATCACTGAAATAGGAAAAAGATTGGTTTTGTCATTGGCAGAAGGAAGTGTGAGTTGGTGGGGCACAGGAGAGATTGATAACTAGCAGAACCACTGAAGTATTTGAGGACAAGATTCAGATGTAAGAATTTTGAGCCTGAGTTTGGTGACAAAAGTGTCCAATTGGAGGGGCCCAGCAAGCAGTTAGAATTGAAAAATATTTTATTAAACTCTTTTTTCTGAATTTCTGTGACACTTACAATGTATACTAGAGGTCAGCACGTATTTTCAAAAAGGACCAAATAATAAATATTTTAGGCTTGTAGGTCATATGGCCTTTGTCATACTTTTAAATTCTGCATAAAAGTAGCCATAAATAATAGGGAAATGAATGGATGTAGCTGTATTCCCATTAAATGTTGCAAAATCAGGTAGTTAGCTTGGGCTGATCCTTGATCTATATACCAGCACTATCCGAAAGAAATACAAACCCATTGCTGTCAAGTTGATTCGGACTCCTAGCAACCCTATAGGACAGAGTAGAATTGCTCCATAGGGTTTCCCAGGCTGTAATGTTTACAGAAGCAGACTACCACATCTTTATCCCATGGAGCTGCTGGTGGATTTGAACCACCAGCTTCTTGGTTAGCAGCTGTGCGCTTAACCATTGGCCCACCAGGGCTTCTTCAATAGAAATATTATGGGAATCATATGTGTAATTTTTAATTTTGTAATAGCCCCATTTTAAAAAATAAAAAGAGGAAGTTAATTTTCTATTTAAATATTTTATCGTGGTTTAGGTGAAAGTTTATAGAATAGAGCAAATTAGTTTCTCATTCAGCAATTTATGCACATTGTTCTGTGACATAGGTTGTAATCTCCACAATGTGTTAGCACTCTCCCCATTTCCACCTTAACAACAACAACAAAAAACTCACTGCCAATGAGTCAATTGGAGATTGGACTCATAGCAACCTCTCCTTGGGTTTCCTAGGCAATATCTCAGGTAGCATAGTGCTTAAGGCATTTGACTGCTAACCAGAAGGCTGGGGGTTCAAACCCACCAGCTGCTCCTTGGAAGGAAGGTTGGGCAATCTACTTCCGTAGTGATACTGCCTCAGAAATCCAAGGAGGGGTCACTATGAGTCAGGTCCGACTCCACAGCACATAACATCTCCTCTACGGAAGTAGATTGCCCAATCTTCCACCTTGGGTTCCCTTTTTTGATTGCCCATATTTCCTGCCACTTCCTGTCTTTTTAACTTTGCTTAAGCAAATACTGTCCTTTTGGTCTCGTATAGTTGATTGTTCTGAGGAGCATGTTCTTCCTAGGTATTATTGTTCACTTTATAGGCCTGTTTTTCATGGTCTAAAAGGTAATCTACAGGAGTGGCTTTAGTTCTAAGTTAGAAGGGTGTCTAAGTGGTGGTATAGTGCCTGAGGCATTTGACTGCTAACCAGAAGGCGGGCAGTTAAAACCCATCAGGCACTCCTCGGAAGAAAGATTGGGCAATCTACTTCCGTGGTGATACCAATACCGCCTCGGAAACCCAAGGAGGGGTCGCTGTGAGTCGAGTCTGACTCCACGCCAATGGATTTGGTTTTGGTTTTGGTTTTGTAAAGGCCATAGTCCCAGGGGTTCTGCCAGTTTCTATGAGATCAGTTAAGTCTGGTCTTTTTTATGAATTTGAATTTTGTTTTACCTTTTTCTCCCACTCTATCTAGTAGTTTCTATTGTGATCCCAGTCAGAGTGGGTTGATGGTGGTAGCTGGGCACTCTCTAGTTCTGGTCTCACATTAGTGAAGGCTGTGGTTCATTAGTCTTTTGGACTAATAGTTTCCTTGAGTCTTTGGTTTTCTTCACTCTTCTTTGCTCAGGATGGAAAGAGACCAATAGTTGTAACTGAAGGCTGTTCACAGGCTTTTAAAAAAGACCCCAGTTGCTACTCAGTAACGTAGGATGTAGAACATTGTCTTTGTGGGTTATGTGATGCCAGTTGATGTAGATGTCCCCAAGACTATGGCCCTTAGCTCTCGAGCCAAGTTTCTTAATTCTGGAAGATGTTTGGTTATGGCTAAGAGTTTTTCTTAACTCTGCCCTGAGAATAAAATTAATTTGAATAATTTATATTATTATTATTTTATAATTATTATAACTTAATGATTTATTTCACCCCATATACCCAAAATACTGTCATTTCAATATGTGTTACTAACTTCATTTCAAATGCTTCATAGATTCATGTGGCTAATGGCTACCATATTGGCCAGTACAGGTCTTTGCAATGTGATTCCAAACTCTAGACTTTATTCTATTACTCTCTGAAGTATGTCTGGGCACAGGTCATCCAAAAGTGTTTGAGGACTACGAGTATATCTTAAACATTTTTCCCACAGTGCCTAGGCCTATGCTTGAAACCTAAGTAATTTAGATTATTCTTTCTTTTTGTTTTCAGAGAAGACAGCAAGGTAGTTACTTTAATGTGAAATGAAATTGGGTAGTTTGTTACAGAATCCTACAATCTTAATATTCAACTTGATTCTTTCTTTCTTTTTTTTTTTTGGTTTTTTGTTTTTGTTTTTAAATAAGTTTCTAGTACACTAGTTCTATTTTCCAGTTCTGTTGGTGCCTGCTGGGTTGGTTTTTTGTTTTTGTTTTTTAATTTTTTTTTGTGATTTCAGTGAAAGTTTACAGAGCAAATTCACTTTCCATACAGCAGCTAACATACACTTTGTCTCATGACATTGACGACAATTTTCCACAATGCAACAGCTCACCTCCCACTTCCTCCCCATAGCTACCTCTTCCCTGTGTCCATCCCTCCATGCACTCCTGCCCCCTGAGCTGTCTCCCTATGCATAAGCAGCCCTTCTTTCTCCCATGATTATTCTGTCCAAGGAGTGTATCTACCTCAGGTAAATGTTCAACTCATATGCCTGTCGTTTGTTTGGCTGGAAGCCACAGGTGTGGGTTCAATTCCAGACCTGAAGGGCAGCTAGGGGTCATAGTCTCAGTGGTTCCACCAGGCTCTGTCGGACCAGCAAACCTGGTCCTATACCTGGGAATTCTTATAGAACATACAAATATACTTGAAAAAACATTATTTGCCAACCCTGTACATGGTCGTGGGTGTACTCGCCCCTGCAGAGACATACCTAATAATTCAGATGTCCGCTGGGTTTTAAGAGGGATACAGAATTACTGCTGCCTTGAAGGATGAATGAGATGGCAGAAAAGAGTGTGAGATGGCAAAAAAGAGTGGTCATTTCTTCCTGCTAACCTTCTCTCTCTTTCCAGGCCTCTACTATGTGGACAGTGAAGGGAACCGGATTTCAGGGGCCACCTTCTCTGTAGGTTCTGGCTCTGTGTATGCCTATGGGGTCATGGATAGAGGCTACTCCTATGACCTGGAAGTGGAACAAGCCTACGATCTAGCACGTAGAGCCATCTACCAAGCCACCTACAGAGATGCCTACTCAGGAGGTGTGGTTAACCTCTACCATGTCCGGGAGGATGGCTGGATCCGAGTCTCCAGTGACAATGTAGCTGATCTACATGACAAGTATAGTGGACCTGCCGCCTGAAGTAGGGTGGAAGTAGCTGCTTGCATTTCTTGGGGTGACTGTCATTGGTAATAAGAGCACAGCACCCCCTTGTATAATGGAAGGGTCCCAAGTTGTATTGATCCTTTTATTTTTTTAGCTCATGTACACACTGAACTCTTATTACCAGCTGTTAATGAGCTGCTGTGGAGGAAATTTAATTTGTTTTACTTTCTTTGCTGTTAACATGATACTAGTTGACCTCAGCCTGTGTTGTGTCTTTTGTCCACACTGTTCCTCCTCCAAGCGCTTTACAGTCAGATAAGCCTGGACATTGGGGAGGGAAGTGACTGTAATTATAGAAAACATTGGTGTGAAGACATTGTGTAGTGAATACATTAATGTCCCCACTCATGAAGCTAATAACAAAGGAGAAGGAGAGAGGGTAGGAGGAGGGAGAGACTTCCCGATTTGGTTTGCAAAGAGATGGAAAGTTGATGAGGTGGAAAGATGCACAGAACTGTACCAGGCAGAGCTGTGGAGAAACTCTCACCCTGTGATGGCGGAGGGGAGGATGATGCTAGATGCAGAGCAGAAAGGTGCAGAGCATAAAGTTTGGATCTTAAACCAGTTGGGACAGGAAGCCTTGGGCCCTGGAAAAAGAAGACAGTGAAGTGAATGTGAAAGCAAGCTCAGTGATCCTTGTCCTGTTGGTACTCCAGTGTATGGATGTGTGGGGCAGACTGGAGTGTTGGAGGGCTTAGCTTCCTGGGCAGGAAGCAGCACAGAGTTCGCACTGAAATGTGTGGGTGGGGAGGATGCCCTCATGAGAGCAGAGATGGCTGATTTATCACACCCAGCACTGAGGGGGTTCCCAAGCTATGGTGGCAACAGATGGCAAGGCCTTCTGTTAAAGAGAAGACATAGGGGAGATAGAGGAGGTTAATGGGAGAAACCTTAAAAATGGGAAAGGAGGGCATAAACAGTATTGCCTTGTGTTTAGTTAGCAAGAAGGAAGAAAGTGGTGGGTGAGGGGTGACAAGCTGATATGTGTTGAGACCAAAGGCTGGGGAGGGGGTGTTCCTAGAGCTAGAGAAGCTAACCTCACATTCCCTGAACTGCGGCTACCTTCCCTTCCCCCCTCAGCCTTGTGCAGTCTATTGATTGATGAGGGCTGTCGGCCAGAAACTGATCGAGGCTTGTTAATTGCATTTGTCAAATACAGGGAAATTGGGAATTAGTGAGATCGGAGAAGAGAGTTTGGAAAACAAATGACTCAAGCCTAAGGAGATTCATTTTGCTGAAAAGTGCCTCAGGAGCCCAGAGTTGGAGCTGCTAGGAGGGGACCCAGACCTGTCTGCAGTTGAATCAGGCCGCGGCCCTGCTGCCTCTTCCTTAGCTACATCAGAGGCACTAAGGAGTTCTGATGGCATAGTGGGAAAGGCTTTTGGCTGCTAATTAGAAGGTCATCAGTTCAAACCCACCAGCTGCTCCATGGGAGGAAGCTAAGACGATCTATTTCTGTAAAGATTTACAGCCTTTGAAACCCAATGGGGATTGCTGTGAGTAGGAATCAACTCGATGGCAGTTGGTTTGGTTTTATGAGAGGCACTAGAACAGTCATCTTCCTCACACTTAGATTGGTTTGCAGATCTTTCTAAAAATTGGAACTTAAGAAAAAGAAAACTCGGGAAATTCCAACACTTGAAGGAAGTCAAATCAGAGGTTGAAGTAGAGTTGAGGCGGTCCAGAGTTTCAACCATTGAATTTCCCCCCTATAGTCACTACCTATAGTACAACATACACACCCCAGCCCCCACCACCACATTCTCCCTGACACTTCTTGGAACTCTAAGGAATAGAATTTGAAAACCACTACCTTGGTAGATACTTGAGGGTAGAAAGAGAGTTCAAGATTGGAATTCCTTTACTTGATTCCAGAGAGCATAAGACCCCTATTCTCTTAGCCCATGAAGAAAAAGAGTATTTGGTACTCCTTGTCTTATCACAGACTCATGACCTTGCTTTGACAGTGGTCTAAATATTTAATGTAAGCACCTATTCTGCACTGGCAGAGTCCTTATCTTCTGTTCTGGCTTTTCCTGGTTCCTCTGCCTTCCTGAGTCTTGAATGAAACACAACTTGTTTAATGGAAAAGTACAATTTGTGGTAGGTTTTTTGGAAATAAAGCACAGAAGAGGTAGGGGAAAATTGCAAGTCTTTAGGCCCAGTGGTACCCACCGTGTGCATTGTGATTTCTGGCTGCTGGGTACTGGTGGGGAGTTGGCTTTGCAGTGATGGATGTCTCTGCTTGTGTAGGGATGATGGATGCTGCATAGCATTGGAGAGAAGCTGTTGAGTGGAATGTACCAGTTCAGGGACTCCCATCAGATTCATTTCCCAGTGCAATCCTCTTGACAAAGGATGATGGAAAAGAAATTGCCTTAAATAGCTGGAAGATTAATTTCTCTCAGCAGTTCCCAGGTGTCCAAGTGATAGGGCTCTTTAAGTGATGTCTGACAATTTCTCCTGCCTCCACAGATAGCTCAGTAACACCAAAATCTGGCTCCTCAGGGTAAGTGATGGGATTAATCTCATTGAATAGGAACAAATACTCCTAGAGGCCCTGTGCTTTCTCTTACTGTGGGGCCTGAAGGCAAATGTGCCTTTAAAGCATCTCCACAGCCGGCAGGGGAGGATTGAGGGAGTAGCAGCAGCATGTGAGGTGAGTAGAATGTTCCTGAAGGAAGGTGAAAAGGTAGGTGAGGACATTGGGGAAGAGAGAGGAAGTACACAGATAAAGCAAATCGGACTGAAGCATAATAGTTTCTGAGTGTTCCCTCTTTAGGCAAAACCAGAAGGTCAGTGTCTCTTGATGTCCTCTTCAGCTAGCAAATGAGAAAACTGTCGAAGCCATTTGAGGAGTAGAAGGTCACATCTTTTGAGGGGAAGTAAGATAACTGATTTATTCTGGTCCACAGATTCTGTGTAGTCTGCCAGGGGAGAGAAGCAAGAGGTAGGATGAAAAGGGAGTAAAGTGAAAGAGTGGAGGGGAATTTGGAGGGGAGTATTTCCCTTGCAACTGGAGTAGGGAGGATGATTTGGTCAGTGGAGGATCTACATGCCCAGATCTAATTCTGGGTGAGGACGTTGGGTTTTTTATTTTTGTTTAGTTAGAAGCGGTGCCCCTCCTGTCAGAACTATAACCAAAGATGAGATGCAGCAGCAGTGATGATGATTAAGTGCTGTATGACTTAAGAAATACAAACAGTACACCCAAGCCTCTCTGCTATTTGTTTGCTTGCCTGGTTTTTAAATTCTAGCTTCCCTTCAGGAAGCCAGAGTTATATCGGGAGAGCTTTAATTATCGTTGGCCAGAGGAGAGCGCAGGCAGACACAGCAACCAGAACTGCCCTGATCGGCAGCTGCTGCCACCTCTGCCTGCCCCAGGCCGCTCCTCCTGTTTCCCCCCATTCAGCAGACTGTTTGCATCCCTACAGTGCTCTCCAGGCCTGACCTCAGAGCCAAGTTCTTCCTTCCAGGGGCTATGCCCCACTGAAGCATTTCAATAAAAACCGTTTCTGAAATGTCCCATCTGCAGTTGTTAGCGGGTCAGGCAGAAGAAATTCTATCCATGTCAGCTTCTTAGATTTATTTAACCTAACTCATTTCTCCCTGAAGCTTTTGCCTCTGAGTTAGGTGCCAAGGCTAACTTGGTCCTTAACCCTTTCTATTCCGGATTAAACTGTTACCAACCTGGTTTATTTAGGAGGAAATAAGATGCCATGGCTTCAACCTCTTCAGATTCCCGCTTCCCGACTCACCTCATTTTCTCAAGCTGCCCCCTCTTTTCTGTTCTCCCCCCTTTGCCTGATTTCACGTTTTCTCTCTGTTCTCTTAGTTCATAAAAATTCTCTTTTCTAGTGAATTTACTCTGTAAATCTTCACCCAAATCCTAATAAATAAATAAAAAAAAAAAAATTCTCTTTTCTTTCCTATGCAGAATTTAAATAAAAACCAATCAATCAATAAAACAAGTGCTGCTTATGGACTTTAATGTAACAAGAAAAGGTTATTGCTAGCTGCAGGGGCCCCAAAAAGCTGATAGTACAGAGGGAAACACGAATGGGAGAAAGTGAGGTACAGAGGATAAGAGACAGATGAGAGACAGCGAGGGCAGCAGAAACAGAAAACCGATGCCTGGACAGCAAGGGTAAGATGCAGCAAAGTGGAGAGGGAGACATGGATGTGGCAGAGAAAGATGGATGGAGACATTGATGGGCAGAGCTGGACTGTGAATGAGGGGGAGTCAGGGAGTGGGAAAGGAGACTGAGAAGGACAGTGATAGAGTGGGCAGAGAAATACTGAGGAAGGAAGCAGCTAGAAGCTAATGCACAATGAGACATGTCCCCCTGGAGGCAGATAATTTCTCCAGCCATACATAATGAACACGTGCCTCTCTGCGTGTTGCCCCTGTACTGTCACAGTCACTTACATCCTGCAAGAATCTCTCCATGCCTACACTGCCTGTGCAAGATTGGAATGATTTGAGCTCCCTCATAAGCACCTTCTCAACCCAGCCAGGTCTATGAAAAGGAGAAGCCTCTTTTATAAAAGTAACATTTGTAAGTGAGGCAGGATCACAGATTCAGTACTTCTTAAAATTGTATTTTTAGGTTCACTCAGAAGTCCTCTCTCCCCTCACCTCCATACCCCCAGCCACATACACCACACATACATAATTTGTCACCTTGCTTTGCTTTTTTTTTTTCTATACATGCACATAGGTCAGGGCTGAGACTGTTAAAGGGAGAGTGGAGGGGGCCCGGGCCTTCCCGGGAGGCCGGGAAATGAGGTGCTTCAGGCAAGAAGGTAAGTAAGTAGGTCCAAGTAGCAGTGTGTGTAGACCAGAAGCGACCAAGGTCAAGGGGATATTTTTTGCAACTACCGCAGCTCTTTTCCTACCCTAGCTTCAATACCATTACTACTAAAGGCACATCCGTGCAGTCTATACTTCTCTGTTATACAGAGTTTCAGGCAATGTACATATGCCTTTATCTCACGGCAGCTTCTCTCTCCATTGGCAGTACACAGTATTGTCTGAGTGGAGGGAATCCTCTGAGCACCAGGATTATGTGGGAGGGCTTATAATCACCATCTCCCTTGAGTCTTGAGGCTGCACACATAGTTTATTTTTTAGAAAAAGAAAGCAGTGGAGCATTTTAAACCAGCACAATAGATTAGCATAGTCCACTT